TCAGCTTGCACATCCCCTGGTCTGGTGGTGTCCAAAGGGCTGCTTGGCTTGGCAAAACTGTCAGACGGTACACATCAGGCTGTGTTGAGTGGCCTGACTGCCATCATGGACCGCTTCTGCGACGGCGACGCCTCCCTTCGGGCCCACATCCAGAAACACGTCGAACTCCTTGACACTGATGCCGCAGCAGACGAGGTACTGGCATCCAGATTGTTGCGTGCAAGCGCAGGCATGTTTGCAAATGCAAAGGCACAGCAAAAAGACGTCACGCATGCCTCGCGGAGGCTGCTTTCACGGCCTTTTGCGGCGATTCCGGAAATCAAGGAGGTGCAGGATTTTTTTCTCTTGCAGTCGGGGAGTATCTTGAAGACAATCAACAACAGCAATGTGTTGCAAGGCAAGTTCAGAGACTTCTGCAAGGGGCGAGCCATGAACATGACGTTCAAGATGCATCGGTTCAATTCCATGTCCAAACCGGCCAGCCGGTTTGTCTTGGAATTTGATGCTGTCCTCCTGACAGCCATCTGGGGTTCGATTCATCGCGCCTGCCCGACTTGCAAAGAATTCCTTCAGTTTGTCGACGAGAAGAGGTTGGTGTTGTTTGCAATGTGTACTGACGTGGCAGACGAGGGGATGGCCCTCACCCGCCTCAGTGACAGCGAAAACTACGACATAGCAGAGATGAACCTCGAGTGCACCGCATTCCTCTCGCGATTGAAATTCCTCTTCCTCGAGGCTGCGTTTGATGCCCAAGACCACAACATAACCCCAATCCTTTAGCGGTTAGGAATTGACATGACATAGCAGGCGAACGTGATCGATTCCCCGGGGTACACGCGCTTTATGATAGAGGCCTTGAACAAGAACCGCGGCTTCCTCTGCGAAGGGACACCCAAGTCCGTGGGCGGACCCGGAAAAGTGACTGCAGCTCTGGTCTCAGAGTGCTTGGGCGTCATGTCAACCTACGTGGCTCTTTGCGCAAAGACAATGGCGGCGGAATATCCGAAGCACAACTTGGTCGCATCCTTCGAGCCCTTTGATCTTTCAAAAGCTCGGCGCTCCAAGGGTGAGGACACGGTCGAGATGGTGGAGGCAGGCCTCACTCGCCTGGCGCAGGTCTTCTCCTTGGACAAGGACACCCTGATGCGCCAGTTTTACGACGTGCGGCCGTACGCGATGCATCAGGCGGCATGTTACGGCAGCAGCTCGTTCGATTCATGGCGTGCTGCCTTTGAGAAAATCAATGCGCGACCCAGCACTCGGGCAGCGCACCCGACAGACGCACTGCTCCCCGTGCTGGTGCGCTACGGATGTTTCAATGGCTGCACGACATCTGGGGTGGAGCAGCTCTTTTCGAGAATGGCAGCGTGCCAGACTTC